CCGAACTCTGCAGCCACACTTGTCCCACTGCGGCCTTCCTCCTACTTCCCAATGATTCGACCTCGGGTAAAAGCATCCAGATGTCGTCTAACAGATTGATTATTCGCCATTTCTCGCTGAGGCAGCAACTCGGTGTGATTTTAACTGCTATACGGCATGCAATCTCTTTGCCAGAAATACTGATCTTACACCGACAACATGCTTTATACTACTCAGACACTCCCCCATTACGTCTACCTGCATATCTGCGCATGTGCTACCGTACATCACCTTACTTAATCTCCTGATTGGTCTTTCTGTCCGCTCTGCCCCTTCGTTCAGCTGATATGCTAATTTTTCGACTTCGTCCTTAATTTTTGCACACCAGTGTAGATCAACATATGCTAGAGGTACTTTAAGTAAATACAATTAAAGAAAAAAAGTATTGCATTTTTTACTGAACATTCTAACGTAATACTAAGGTAATTTACTCATCAATAGCACTGATTCGTGCTCAAGATATCACCTATCTTTGCTTTATATTTAATAACTGGGATATAAGCTTGCACTTTTTTATACAAACTGTCGAAGTCTAGGTTTATTGAAGTTATCTGCAGTCGCATATCGTATTCTGCGTTAATTTTTTCCTATATATTGTTTTTTTGCCACATATGTTAAGAAATATTTTAACTTAAATACGTTGTTCAAAATAGCATTGAGTTGTTCATACTTGCGTCTATTCTTCAAATTGTCAGCCTAAAATTTAGGATCTGTTTCTGCTTAAATTTAGATTTTAGCACCGAATCTGTTGATATGTCGATAAGTTATTATTTTTCCTTCATTGGCGATCCTTCTGATTTATCCATTCATGTTTGGCTTTCTCTTCTAAAAAATAATTTTTTAGACAGGTGTTGGGTATTTTTTAAAAACATTTTCTTACAAGCAGCCTTTTTCACAAATGAAAAAAGGTGTAAAAATTTTTAACACTATCATCTAAATCTAATTCATTCCCTTCCCCTTAGTTTTTCAAAATATTGCACTAACGAATGTAAACTTATTTAGCAGAACCCAGGATCATAAACAACAGAATATCCAGAACATAATATGACAATCCAGGTAGTACATATATAGAAAAATAGCTTTAATATCCTTTTATTATATTGTAATAAAAGTTGCAGGAAATTACTAAAAAGAGAGGATGTCATGTGCTGAATTTAATTTTAAGGGGTTTTTGGAATACAACTTTAAATATTTATCAAACAAGCTCTACAGAAAACGTGAATCTGTTTCGTAAACATATTTAGTTTTCTTTTAGAATTTGTATCCTGACTCATGGAACACCATGTCTCCACGGAATACAGTTTGGAGACCCAAAGACAGGTCTAGAAGTTTCAATTATAAAAATTTTAATCGAAGTAGGTAAAATGAATTAACAAATATTATTTTACGAGTATCAAAATTAGTAAAGACGCGATTATTGATTCGAAACAATAAACCTCTTCCAGCACTTATGATACTTTTGATAAATGGACTAAATTAAAATGAGAATAATGTCGTTCTATCATAATGCATGTGGAAAATGTTACTTTAGAGACATAAATTGATTTTTTTTTAAATTTTGACAAGAATCAAGTCAACATGATTCAAAAATTAATATATAAAACTTTAAAAAAGTAGTTGGGGTAGGTGAATGGAAAGAAATTACTTTAAAGGGGCTTGAATTATATTTAATTATACTGAATCGTCATGCTCTAAATGCATTCTATAACAATAAATGTTTATCATTTTTATAACAAAATGTTTACGTTTAAATTGTAATTAAAGTATTGAACTCCCTTTTTTTTCCTGGAAATGGTAAGCTATAACTAACTGTAATTATTATTTAAGAACGGGACTAATAAAACCAAATATACATATTAGAACATCTTTTCTTGAGGGAAAGCTTAAAATTTTAGACTAAGAGATCTCCCAACTGCGTGTGCTTAGTTCAAAAAGAACGGATGAAAATAATTAAAACGAAATGGGGGGGTGAATGTTGAATAAAGAAAATAAACATGAATATCTTATTATTAATAATCATGTGGAAGAAAAAAATTGCTATTAATTGGAACTACCTATACATAAAAGATATTCTAAGAGAAAAATAATTAAAAAAATTATTTCAAAATTTAATATTGCCACATAGGGGCTGAATTTTCGAAAAAAAAAATACAAAAAGACTTTATTTTGGGATTAGATGATTCTAGACTCAGAAATAAAATCATTTTTTCTACAATATAAATAACTAAAAACGATGATTACTTAAATGAGTATTGAGAAGCGAATAGTACAATCAGCGTTGCTAGATTCCATAACCTTAGCTCTCTTTTCCCGTACCGTCGAATCAGTCCAATTCAGTGGTGCACACGAGGGTGATGGGCCCGGGTCCAAACCCCCCCATTGCCCTTGATTTTTTTTTTTCGGATTATTTATAATTCTATGTATATAGTACGCAAAATTTAATTAAGTATTTGTTATTAAAAATTAATTTTATCAATTAATGCTAATTATTTTTTCAATAGTTAATTTTTTTACTGTTTTTTGTTCCCGAAAATAGACAAAATCAAAAGAATATGTAGGGCGGTGTATTGGAACATGATACGAGAATGGTGAATTTTCGACCTTGTCCTCACCCATACCCCTTGAAAAATTTCTGCACGCGCCACTGGTCCGATTCAAATCTTTTTTTACGCCTTTTACTTTATCATGCTCTGTAATTTTGACAGTAGGTTTTTCTTAAAATTTAACACTAAAGAATCTGTTAAATGTATCTGATGTTTTTTCCCCCTTGCAATTATTGAGTAAATGCCCTCTCAACGCAATAAAAGTTAAAAAGCAATAAAATGCCTATTCTTTTAACAAAAATTGCTTTGGTATGTACCAAAAAAAAAAAACCCAGATACCTGAGTTCCATTTCGCTTGTGGCAGTACTTAAAATAAACATTAATTTTTGAAGCTAAACTTTTTTGTGCGTTAGAGAAAAACGATGAGGGTAAATATTTACGATGCGCTCGCATACCGTCACGACACCGATGCGCGCGCATACCATTGTCTAATATTTTAACATGCCACTTTTTTGGTGCTAGGGGACTGATATTTGGGGGATCGTAATAACTATTGTTTTAAACCATATCTGTTGGGACGCATTCTCCTCCCCCTCTACAGCTTTTTGGACAATATCTCGGTACCCGAGCTTCACAGTCCATTCGGACCTGGCTCATTCGATCCCTCTCTATCTGCTCTTCCAGTTATTATAATTTAATTCTCCTAGGGCTATTTCTTCCATAGTTTTTAATTGTTTCAAACTTTTTAAATTTGTTTAAATTCACAATATCTTGGCTTTTGTTTGAGTCTCTGACTTGAGATTTGAACCAACTGTTCAACTCGTCGATACCCATCCACTCATCTACTTCATTCCCATTGTGTAGGCTTAGGGAGGGCTTAAGCACTAAAATATCATGCTCCTATGCTAATCCTATGAGGAATGGAAAAATTTTCACCACTCACTCACTCACCCGCATAGCTCCGAGGATTTTTGAGCTTCGTTAATGAAACTCGGACCGTAGGTTCTCTTTAATGAGCCCTTTCATCTGTTATAATTCGTGTGTAGATAGTGGGCCTAGGGGAGCGTTACTAAAATTAGAATCCTCATGTTATTCCTATGGGGCTCGATCTTTAGATGACGTCACGATATTACAGAGACAGAAGGATGAAATTTTGGGATCACCTACCACTCTGTGTATCGTTGGGATGTACGTGACCATTTACGTTACAGTTGCTTCCCCTCCGGGGGAGTTAGTTCCGTTTTCCTTTCCCGAACTAGCAACGCCCCATTTGCAACTACAGACTCCGGACCGGTTCGAATCTGTGGAGGTTCAAAAGCTTCACACTGGTGAGGTGAGGAAGTTTGGAGAGTGATGTGACAGTTCAGGTTTCGTACTTGTCACTTCACCATGTCTCAAAATTTCAAGCTCCATCTCCAACAGCCCGCGAGTTGCCTCGAAGTACGATGTAAATAAACAATCAATCAATCAAAAAACTTAATGTTGAACATGATTAATTTGTCTTCACAATTATTGAAATTCCTATACTTTTTATAATCTAATATACTTTGTTGAAAGTGCACGGTACACCTTGAAATATATATTTGAGTATTTACTGGAATAAAAAAATTTCATTATATTGAGATCAAAAGAACCAGATTAAACGTTATTTGTTAGTGGTATTAAAATTTTGATCGGGTGAAAGGTTGGTTCTCCAGGAAAAATATTGCTCAAGACCGCATGAATGTTATTAATGACGGACCTCATAATTTTGAGCCATGATCAAATAAACAGCACCTTAGTTTGTATTCCAAACTCTTAACTCCCACATCACACCTGTAACCACGGTAACAGAGTGATAGTGCACATCGGGGTATCAAACTCGCGGCTCGCGAACCGCATGTAGCCCACAACGAATATTTTTGCAGCCTGGACAATACATCGGTCCACAAAAATAAATAATAAAATAACAAACCGACACATAATAAAAATATGATAGGTATAATTCGTTAAAAAACGTTTTTTTTTATCTTTTTTATATTCCTTTTTTTTTCAATTCCTACTAATAGTTCGCTATCCTATCTCCCTATATATATATATATATATATATATATATATATATATATATATATATATATATATATATATATATATATATATATATATAGAAAGAATAATAGAAAGTATTTTATTAACGGTTGAAAATTTTACCAAGATATATAGATATATATCTTGGTAAAATTTTTAATCGTTAATAAAATACTTTCTATTCATCCATTCAAGTTCAAATACATTTTTTAAAACTTGTAGTGGATGACACTTTATGTTAATACAGTTTCTTCGAGTATCAATTCATTAGTTAAACTTAATTAACGAAAAAATAGTAACAAACAAATATAATGGTCCTACGCCATACATAAAAAGGAAAACGCTCGTTGTATCCCTATAGCACAATGGACAGTGCTTTGGAATTCTCGTTCAAAGGCCGTGGGTTCAAATCCTTCTTGGGATGGCCTAATTTCTAAGAACGTAATTTTTGAGTGAATAAATAGTAACAAAAAAAAATAATAATAGTCTAATGCAACATATAGAAAGGAAAATCGCTTTCTATTTTGCCACATGTGTATACATATTTATATTAACTGTAATTATTTAATAAAAAATAACTAAAATAAAATTTTTGTTTGTTGACCAAGTAGAAAAATTTACTTAATTTTTGTTTATATTACTTGTTTTTGGTGTTATTAAACAAAATGCGTACATTTATTTTGAATATATCCCAGTTACGGTATCTGAGCATAAATGACATCTAAAATATATCAAAAGCTAGGCCACTGAATTTTTTATAGGCGAAAAATTTTGAAATAATTTTAAAATATACAAACACAAGGCTTTAAGAATAGTTGATTAAATGTTCAACTGCTAAATAATTAACAGTAATTGGTTGTTGAACGAAAAGCTGAAAATACAGATTATTAATATGATACCTTGTTATATAATTAACAGTATTTATAGCCTGACTCACACTCATTCATTCAATCACTCATCACAATATCTCCGGAACTATTATGCCTACAAACTTGAAATTTGGTAGGCTTGTTCCATTCATAGAGTAGAGATTTGTTAACACTAGATATTGCCCAAGGAAGTCATTTTGACTGCTTTTTAATTTCAATTAGAAAAACAATGGTGTTTATAATGGCACAAGTTCATAGAATTTTTTAGAGTACATTTTTTTTCCCGAGTAAAGTAAATTTCTTTTAATGTTAATATTTACTAATAACTTGTTATATGACTGTAAATAATATTAAAACTATTAAAAATTAAATTTAAACAAATTTATTTACACATTAGTTATTCTTTCACAATGCAGTCATTTTGACTGCTTTTGGGCAATATAGGTATACACCAAGTTTCAGTCTTTCTAGTGTTAAGAAAAAGGCAAAAATCGAACCTAAAGGGACGGGAACTGCGTGGTGTCAAGTGCCGTTATAGATAAATATTCCTATTTTTGAACTATTAGACATACAGATATGAAATTTAGTAGGTGTGTTCTTTGCATAGAGTAGAGATGCACTACAAAAAATGTTTTGCAAAAATAGACCATCAAGGTATGTTGCGAGGGGTGAAAGGGGGATTGTAGGTAAAACAGAGTTTTTGAACTATTATACCTGCAGCAGCGTTTCTCAAACTGGGGGGAGGGGCGTGATAATCTTACAAGGGGGGGCGCGAGCATATCAAAAAGTCAAAAATAAAAGATTTAAAAAATTGCAAAGTTACTGAAAGGAAGCAAAACAAAATACATTCTGACATAACTAAAATGTAAAATACACTTTTACATTGATATAATATACTTATAAATGCATCTGTACTGCATAATATATTTGATAATTAATTTATGAATACTAAATTAAGAACAAGATTAATGATTACTAGTGATTCCCAAGGGCTTGTCATTATACACAAAATTTAATACTTATCTTGATAATTTGTACGGTTATAAAAATTAAAGTCATATTGTAGCTTTTAATGCGTTAATTTTGAAATCAATACATTGTTATTGTATGGAGGGGGCATGAGGAAAATTATGATTGAAAATTGGGTCGCAAGTATTGAAAGTTTGAGAGGCACTGAACTACAGACTGGAAAGTTAAAAGGCATGTTAATTTTTATAGAGTAGAGATCTGCAAAGTAGAGTTTTGCGAAAATCTACGGAATTTTACGAGGGTGTTTTATATTTAAAAAATATATATATAAACCTTTTATGAACTACTAAACCTACAACCAGTGGCGCACACAAGGGGGGGATCCTAGGGGGTCCGACTCCCCCCAAAGCCCTTGATTTTTTCCGATTGATTATAATTCTAAGTACATAGTACGTAAAATTTAATTAATTACTTGTTATTAATGATTAGTTTTATTAATTAATGCTAATTATTTATTCAAAAATTAGCTTTTACTGTGTTTTGTTCCCGAAAATCGGCAAAATCAAAAGGAGCACGATACAAGAATGGTGAACTTTCGACCCCGGACCCCCTGAAGAATTCCTGTGTGCGCTACTGCCTACAACCATGCAATTTGGTAAACATGTTACTTTAGTTCATCAGAGATCAGATTAGAAGGGAGTTTTCAAAAGTCAATCCATAAGGAGGTTTACGGGAGCATCATTAATAAAAAAAAAAAAATCTCTTTTTTCAGCTATTAGACCTACAGACTTAAAATTGGACAAATATGATTTTTTGTTGAGCAGTGATATGCTAAAAAAGCTTTTGTGGGGTTTTTTTATTGTTTTGTTTTGTGTAGTTTGCAATTCCCTTAAAATTAACTCATTAAAAACTTCTTTATCCTTCCATCTCTACTACAGTGCTTCTCAAACTTTCTGTACTTGCGACCCAATTTTCAATCATAATTTTCCTCACGCCCCCCTCCATATAATAACAATGTTTTGAATTCAATAATATACTTTGTGTGACGTAAAGCTACAATGCTACTCTAATTATAAACTATACAAATTATCAAGATAAATGTTAAATTTTGTATATAATTTTATGGCATGCCCATAGGATCACTGGTAATTATTAAACTTGTTCTTAACTGTTAAACTGTTCTTAACTTTTAAATTAGTTATAAAACACATTGTGTAGTACTGATACATTTATAAGTGTATTATATCAATGTAAATGTGTATTCTCTTTGTATTATCAGAACGCATTTTTTGTTTTGCTTCCTTTCAGTAAAACTTTGCAATTTTTTAAATCTTTTATTTTTGACTTTTTGATAAGCTCGCGCCCCCCTCGTAGGGTTATTACGCCCCCCTAGGGGGCGCGCCCCACAGTTTGAGAAACACTGATCTACTCTGTTTTATTTTTCTATTGACTCGTACGAAGAACGAGTATAACAGCTAGTATTTAAATAAAGATTTACCCAAAGCATCATTTTCCATTCTTTTTAAAACAAAAAAATTTCGAATATATTTTTATTTCTGTGGCCTAAGGGTTCATTGATGAAAGGAAATCGAAATTTACATCATAAATTGGTAAGAAATGTATTCAACCTATTTTCTGTGAGTTGAGTTTGATAGAGTTTGATATAGTTTTAAAATAAAATCCAGAATTATGAATTTTAATATTTTGATCAATTTCCCGCATTTTTAACGTCCTTGATCTTATAGCATCCCCCCACACACGTTAATCTTCATGTTTCGGTCCTCATGAAATAGTTGTACCATGTATGTTACCCTGCGGAACAAAAGGTAGAGTATCCCTGAATTTGTGACTGATACTGCATTAGAACTAATTTTAATATTTTCTCTGATTCTCGATTCACTTTGTCAATGAAGGGCAATTTAACGCATAAATTCTAAGCCAGTCAAATGTTTAATTTTGACGCAGATAAGGTAAATCTTTTTAATAGATAATTATAAACAAGAAAAAGAAAAGAACAATTTTAGTAAAAATAATTATATTTGAATAATTTGCATCGCTAGATAAGTCTGAAGAGCCGCAACCGTCTATACATAGAGTCGCATGCAGCTCGTGAGCCTTTGTTTGCCCCGACCCAAGTTCTATACAATGGCGGAATTCATGGAACCAGGGTTCGAATGCACGACTCGATTTGAAATTGCCTTACCTATGCTCCTAACAATAGCCACTAATAACCACTGCAGTATCAAAGGCAATGAATCTTCTTTTTTAAAAAAAAATAAAAGGAAATATCTTCTGAGCTTTTAATTAATCAAATGCAACTCAGATAATTTAAAGAATATTTTTGACAAATTATTAATGTTGATAAATTTCTCAATAATCTGCCAAAGTCGAACGTTTCATTTTAGGCACAGTTGCACTATTTTTTAAAATCTAACTTTATATATTAGAGTTCTAAAGCTCATTTTAAAATAAATAGCTAGTTGAAAATCTTTTTCAGACTTTTGCATCAAAACTAAATTTTGAAATTATTAGCCTTTTTATCTTCCTATTTAATTTGTGTTGTCTATTTATGTTTTTAATACAATTTTCAAGCATCGTATTTTTAACTATAATTTCGAAGCATTTCAGGTTTTTGTACATCCTATGCTTTGAAAATAAAAAATAAATAAATAAATCCCTTTATGAAAACTAATTCCAGAATTTCTTCCGTTTTTTTTAACAATTCATTTGCTTATAATTTTCTAGATGTACTTCGATACATATATAATATATCGCTAAATAACCCTTACATAATTTGTTACTGATGTTGTTAGAAAAGGTCAAAAGTCACTGGGGATTTACTATTCTAGAGAAATCTTGCAAAATCACAGCTGCACACTTTTGTAGCTTCTCAATTCCAGTTTGCCAGAAGTAAATTGGTGCCAAAAAGCTAACAAAATGTAAAACTTTGGTAACCACACTTAATGAAACTTGCCTCACGCGCTTTAAAGTTCGCATTTGTGAAGAACGCATATTTCTTGAAGATTTTTTTTTAAATAATCAACGACTATAAGAATCCGAGAAGTACACTATGAAAAACCTTATAGCACTAAAACATTTTTTTTAAAAGAAGAATTTAAACTGAACTTTCTATTTTCGCTTAGATGCAAGTCAATTCTTTCCCACAAACACTATATAACCATAAACAAATTCTTACCTGACTTACTTATTCAAATTAATTGCATAAAAGCAATTTAACTTTTTTATTATATCAATTAAATACCTAACACAAAAAATTCCCTACAGATGCATTAGTATGTGAATTCTAATATTATATGAACAAAATTATTATATAAAATTATAAGTTTTTCTTTTCTTTTTTTTTTCATATTTTTAGACGTTTTTAAATTGTGCTCAGCCTTGAGTGAGTTATAGTCATTGTCATCTGAAACTGCGAATGCGAATACGATAATAAATATATATATATATATAATAAATATATATATATATATATATATATATATATATATATTATAACACCTATTATTACTTCAAAATGTGTGTGTGTGTGTGAAGTACGACAAAGACTAAGCAACTTATTTGTGTA